TTCAGAGTTATAAAGTCGTCTCACCTTATAATAATTACAGGAGAAGGAGCCCTTGTGTGGAGTGCCTTTGGGTTCATCTTGTTTTCTAGTAAGGGACGTGGCTCCTAAAAGTAAACTGAAAAACCTGGGGTGCAACTCTGTAGACAAAAACATTTGAAAAATAAGATAATGTACCAAGTGTTCCAGAAGTCCCAGGGGCCTGTGGCTCATGCCTGTAATCCTAGCTACTCAGGAGGCTGAGATCTGAGGATCACAGTTTGAAGCCAGCCCAGGCAGGCAAGTCTTTGAGACTCTTGTCTCCAGTTAACCACCAAAAAACTGAAAGTGGAGCTGTAGTTCAAGTAGTAGAGCACTAGGCTTGGGCAATATAGTTCAGGGATAGTGCCCAGGCCATGAGTTCAAGCCCCAGGACTGCCTTATGCATGCACACACATGCATGTATGTATGTACACACAATAAAGAAGTAAAAATGATAGTTCAGAGAAAAGGTAGAATTCTCTTCCATCATCCTAGCTTGAGATATAATTAGCCTATAAATTGTCTATATTTAAGATGTCCAGAGAATATGATGAAATGATTACCACAATCTATAATTTACATATAATCTATGTATACACAAACCAGTTTGGGGGCTTGAACTCAGGGCGTAGGAGCTGTCCTTGAGCTCTTTAATAAAGGCTAACACTTTACCACGTAAGCCCCAGCTCTGCTTCTTGTTTTTTGGTGTTTAATTCAAGGTAAGAGTCTCATGGACTTTTCTGCCCAGGCTGGTGTTGAACCAAGATCCTCAGATCTCAGCCTACTGAGTAGCTATGATTATAGGTGTGAGCCACTGGTATCCAGGTCCAAATCATGTATTTGTGTGTGTGTGTGTGTGTGCGTTAAGACCATTAAAGATCTACTCTGTAAGCAAATTTCACATATACAGCATATTAACTTGTTAATACTTGTGCTGACAATTAGATATCCAGGACTTATCCATTCACTGTTTATATCCTTTGACCAGTGTCTTCCCACTTCCCTCATCACCACCCCCAATTCCAGGCAGCCACTATGCTACTGTCTGTTTCTGTGAGCTTAATTATTTTAGATTTTACATAATAGGGAGGTCATACAATATTTATCTTTTTCTGACTTGGTTCATTCTGCATAACGTAATGTCTGTAAGTCTCATCCACGTTGTTGAACTTGCATGGCAGGATTATCTTTTTTATGACTGAATAATGTTCCTCAGTCTGTGTGTGTGTATGTGTGTGTGTGTGTGCGCGTGCGCACGTGTGTGCGTGTGCATGTGCATGCCAGTCTTGGAGCTTGAATTCAGGGCCTGGGCACTGTCTCTAAGTTTTTTTTGCTCAAGGCTAGTTCTCTGCCACTTTGAGCCACATCTCCACTTCCAGCTTTTGGTGGTTACTTGGAGTCTCATGGGCTTTTTTTTTGCCTGGGCTGGCTTTGAACCATGATCCTCAGATCTCAGACACCTGAATAGCTAGGATACAGGCGTAAGCCACCAGTGCCTGGGTATTTTTACTGTGAATTATGCTTCAATAAACATGAGAGGACAGGTTTCTGTTTTGATAGATTCCATTTCCTTTGGTTGTATACCAAGAGGTGAGATGACTGCATTGTATGAAAGGTCTGTTTTTAATTTCTTTTGAGGAATTTTGTATGATTTGCTTATAACTACTAGTATACATTCCCACCAAACAGTACAAAAATGATTTCTTTTTTCTATATCTTTGCCAACACTGTTTCAACACTATCTCATTTAAAAAATGCTAACCATTCTAATAAGTGAGAGGTAATAACTCATTGTGGTTTTGGTTTGGTTTTCCTTGATATTTAGTGATGTTGAATGTCCTTACAAAACTTGTCCTTATACAAATTAGTGTGTATCTTCATTGCAGAAGTGGCCGATTGCAGTTGAATTATTTGTGTGAGTTCTTTTTCCTTGCTATTGAGTTGTCGGATTTTTTTTCTTTGTCCATTAACTCCTTATTATTTGTGGAATTTGCAGTTCTTCCTTTGCTTCGTAGTTTGCTTTTTCATTTTTCTTTCAATGAGAAGAATCTTTTTATTTTTGATGTAGTTTCATTTGTCTATTTTTCCTCCCTCCCTTCCTTCCTTCTTCCCTTCTTCCTTTCTTCTATCTTCCTTTCTTCCTCCTTTCCTCCCTCCCTCTTTTCCTCTTCCATTCCTTCTCCCTCCCTTCCTGTTCCTTCCTCTCTCCCAAGTTCTCCCCGATTCTTCTTCTTCTGAATATCTCTCCTCCCTCTCCTTTTGAATTGAAACCCAAGGCCTTATGCATGCTGACCATGTGTTCTACTGTTGAGCTCTACTCCAGTTCTTGTACCTACACTTTTAGTGTCATATCCAAAAAAATCACCAAAACAACATTGTTTGCTTCTAGTAGCTCTATGGTATCAGTGTGTTCATTTAAGTCTCTATCTACTGCATTAAATTCTGTGAGTGTTGTAAAATGAGGATTGTTTCATTCTTCTATAAGAGAATATCTAGTTTTTCTGGAACTATTAACTGAAGAGATTATCCTTTCCTAACATATGCTTTTCATTCTTGGGTCAAGCATTAGTCCACAGTGTCACATGTGTTTCATTCTGGGCTCTGTAGTTCCCTGTGTCTGTTTTTATACCATTGCCACACTGTCTTAGTTACTGTGGCTTTGTAAAGTTGTTTGACATTATAGAATGTGAGGCTTCTAGCTTTCTCTTTTATTCCTCAAGATTAATTTTACTATTTGGCACTATTAGAAGTTTATGATTACAAGAAGGGCAAAGGTGGCTCATGCATGTAATCCTAGCTTCTCAGGAAATTGAGAGCTGAGGATTGTGTTTCAAAGCTAGACCAGGTAGGAAAAAGTCCATGAGAATCTGACCTTCAGTTAACCACCACAAAGCCAGGCCCTGAGTTCAAGCTCCAGGACTGGCACACAAACAGAAAAAGAAGTTAACTGATTACCAAATACATGAAAAATACGATTGCAATTTTGATAGAAATTGCATTGAATTTGTAAATTGTATTGGATAATATGGACTTGGTATCATTTCTTCCATTGCATGACTAGACAATGTCTTTTGGTTTATTTATAACTTATTTAATTTTTTCAGCAGTGTTTTTCACATTTAATTGTATAAAACTTTTATGTCCATAATTTTATTGTTTTCAAAGTCACTTGTACTGTTTCTCTCTTTTTCTGGATAGTTTATTGTTAATTTATCAAGCACAATGATTTCATTTTTGATATGTTAATTTTGTTTCCTGAACTTTTAGTGAATTTCTTAGTTTAGTTGTTTTGTGGTGCAGTCTTTAGGTCTTCTATGCATGGGATCACATCCTCTTTAAAGATACAGTTTACTTCAACATTTCTAATTATTATGATTTTTATTTCTTTTTCTTGCCTAATTACTCTTATTAAGTCTATTACTTTGAAAGGCAGCAGTCTTGGTGAAGTCCTCTTTTGTCTGTTTGTGGTAAAATAATGTGATGCCTGGGTTTTCCTTCCAAGGTAATTGCAAACACCTATGTGTTCTGAGGGGGGAGGGTGGGAGGGGGGGAGGGAGATTGGAGGGGGAGAGTTGGAGAAGATTGAGACTTCTGGGACTTGAACTCAGGGCCTGGGCACTGTCTCTGAACTTTTTTTTTTTAACTCAAGGTAGCTTTTTCCCACTTAAACCATAGCCTCAGTTCTGTTTTTTTTTTTTGTTCTTTGTTTGTTGTGTTGTTGTTCATTGGACCTAAGAGTCTCACAGACTTAACTGCCTATACTGGCTTTGAAGTATGATCCTCGTATCTCAGCCTCCTGAGTATCTAAGATTATAGGTACAAGCCACTGGCACCTCACTCTGTGCTCTAGTTTTCACTACAGCACCTCTTAAACAATGGAAAATAACTTTTTAACAAATTGCTTGCTGCTCTGAACCATAGACTGAGAATCATATTAACAAAAGTGATCTTTCCTGCACATACCCATAGTGATCCTTTATTGTTAGATTGGTCACTGGGAAACAGTTATTTGGTTTTAATAAAACAAGTAAAAAGACACACCCAGAGAGGAATTGGATGTTGATGAGAGAGTAGAACCTCCTTTATCAGGATTTGTTCTTTGATGAAAGAACAAATTGTACACTGCATGGTGAGACTGTAGCTAAGGTTTGATCAGGGTACACTCATTCAGGGGTTCAGGCATTTGAAACATGTGGCTTCAGTTGTTTTCCTGGGCACCATTGTCAGGTAAACAAATGGTAAAAAGCAAGAGAAGAGGGGCTAAATGATGGGAGTTGTGTGTGGGTTTTGAGGGGCTCATTACTTAAGCCTAGCTTGCCACTTTATCCAAATCCATCTCTGTTTAAATCTGTCCATGTCCTCTTATTCCTTTCTGTTCTTTTGGGCCATATTATAAACCCTTACATGTATTAAGTGTGTGTGTGTGTGTGTGTGTGTGTGTGTGTGTGTGTGTGTGTGTGTGTGTTTACTCATACATGGATTTATTCCTTTTATCTCTTCTGTTTCCTTCCTTCCTGTTTGTCCATGATTATGTTGTAGAACTTTCTAGTGAAATCTAGACATGCTCTGTAGGAAGTGCACATGCTCCAAAGTAAGTTCATCTGTTCCATTTCTAGGCAGGTAGAGTTTGGGGCTGGCTAGTCATCTTAATCTAGTGGTTTTTAAATTGGAGGTGTTAGAAACACCTGCAGAAATAATAAAATAATGAAAATAAAGGCCTTGCCAGCCTTGTTGCTGATCCTTGTCAAGACTTGCTAGATGCTGGGGTGTCCTTACATTTCTATGTAAGGCCTTCTTTTCTGGTTTTATTTTCTTTTACACTCACATTAACTCGGTGCCTTCCAAAGCTTTTAAACATAACTTCCTTTTGAACATCCTTTTTCTCTTTGTGTTTGTCCCTGGAAATCAAAGCCAATGGATTTTATTATTTTGCCAACAAAACAGAAAAACAACTCCTGGATTCAGTTTCTTTTTTCTTTCAGGAAAAACATAAACAAGAATTGGAAGACATGAGGAAAGCTGGTCATGAAGCCCTTAGCATTATTGTGGATGAATATAAGGTAGAGACTTTTGCTTATTCTTTCTGGAAAGAATAGTAAGGCCTTCAGTGAAATACACAGGCATGTGGCAGCATATACACATCTCAGAAGCCTATTTTAGCTCTGTATCATGGTCACAGGCGGCTGGACCAAAGGTATACTTGGCCTCACAATTCTAGTTCATACTCATGTAGGCCCACGTGACTTTGGGCCTGAGATAAGGCTGAACCTCATGGCAGAAAGGGAAGACAGAATCAGGACAAGGTGCACTTGGGTTACTCTAGCAATGACCTACTTCCTCCGTAGGCCCCCCTCCTCCTTACAATAACACCATGAAATTCTCAGTCCATCAACTGGCAAGGGCCTTGCCTCCATTCACTAACCAGAAGTTTATATATCAGCTGTCAGGACACACTTCAGAAAGAAAACCATAAAAACTGATTTAGGTTTTATCTAGTCTACAAATGTAAATTGAATGCATATCTGTGGATTACAGGGTAATGCTAGATATTACTGCACATTTGCAGTACACAAAATGTCAGAGAATACAAGCTCACCAGGTAAAGGAATTTAAACATAATATGCTATATATTAATTGTTAATTAATTAATTGCTATATAGTTCATATAAGTAATTAGTTCCTGTCTTATCTTTTTTTGTCTCTCTGATTTGATTCTGCTTCTGTGTTACAGGAAAAAATGTTAAGTCCTGGTATAAATCTGAAACAAAATATTGTACCTTCTTTTCTTTTGTTAAAACAAGTTAGGCTTTAGATACATTTGATTAAGAGAGACTTGGAGGAAAAAATATATATAGAAGAAATAGGATATATATATGTATGTTATATATAGTATGTATACATAAATATATAATAACATTATATATAACACTATTTTATCTCTCTACCACATAAACTTAATTTTAAAACAAATTGAGAGATTAGTATTGAATACTTTTTTTTAACCTTAAATTTCATGTTAGATCATTTTTTTTTCATGTCATAGGAGTATAACTCTTGTTAAAGTCAAAATCAAGCAATTCTTCCCAGAGATTATCATTAGCAGTGGGTGTGCATATGCCATCATATTTACATACACATATGCTCTTACTTTGCTTTTAGTTTTAGGGTTTTTTTGGTGTGTGTGTATGTATGCAGCCAGTCCTGGGCTTGAATTCAGGGGCTAGGCACTGTCCTTGAGCTTCTTTTGCTCCTGACTAGCATTGTACCACTTGAGCCACAGCTTTTAATTGGAGGTAGAGTCTCATGGACTTTCCTACCCAGGCTGGCCTCTTACTCATAGCCATTAGATCTCAGCCTCTTGAGTAGCTAGAATTACAGGTTTGAGCTGCCTATGCCCAGTCTCATGTTATTTAGTTTTGACTTGCTTTCACATACAAAAAACTTCTCCTACTCAATTGCTACCTTTTTTCCTTCATGGTATATTTATTCCATATGACTTGGAGATGTTTTCATGTCAGAATTATTTTAATAACTCTTCTTTAGTATTTCACAGCATAAATACATTTCATGGTTGATTTATTACAACTAAAGGTAAAAAAATCCTAATTTTGGTATGAAAACATGTTTATCATAGATTGAATGGCTTCACTTGATTTGATGGAAAATAGTGGATAATATACTATCAAAAGCTTCTATAATCATTTTAATAAAAGTAAAGAAGTAGATCTGATAAAAATAGAAAAAAAGTAGATCTAGAATGAATTTAAATAAAAATGCATACAGAAACCCTAGAACATTGGAATAGATATGTCTTGGGACATGAAAGCTCTTTTCTCTCCATACTTATAGTTGTATGAAGGGACTTAATTGTTACTTGTCTGTATACATACAGTATACAGATTCACTGCCTTCTATCATTTCCTTCTCCCGACGTTCCAAATCAATCTCAGAAATGTCATTTTGGTGACCATATCAGACTACTGAGATGCTAAGAAGATCATGAAATCTGCTTTTTTCAGTTTCTTTACATCAGTCACACAGAAGTGGGGAATTCATTGTAACAATGTATTCTAGTCAGCTCCCATCTCTAACAGTCTCCTTGCCCTCTTTCCCTTTCCCTCAAACAATGTTATCAGGTTTTATAGTTGCAAGTCATCTGTTTTAATGGTACTCAGCCTCCTTCATTCCCCTCCCTAGCCCAGTTCCCACCTCTGCTAGTAATCATCTCCCTCCAGGATTCAAAGCCCCAATCCCTTGGATTCACAGCTTTTTTGTTTGTTTGTTTGTTGCCAGTCCTGGGGCTTTAACTCAGGGCCTGAGCACTGTCTCTGAACTTACCTTGCTCAAGGTTAGCACGCTACCACTTGAGCCACAGTGTCACTTTCAGCTTTTTCTCTCTATGTGGTACTGAGGAATCAAGCCTAGGGTTTCATGTATGCTAGGCAAGCACTCTACCACTCAGCCACATTCCCAGCCCGATTCACAGTTTTTCTTGAAGTTCATTGTGCTGTTTTCATATAGAGTTATAATATATTACAAAATTGCTCACCCAGTTTTATTTTTTTCTGTGTTTATACATATAAATAATTATGTATATGGGTATATACACATATATGTCCACAAGTATGTATGACTTTTAGATTTAGTATCCACATATGAGTGAAAATATTTGAGCTTGGCTTGCCTTGTTCAATATGATATTCTCTAATTATATCCATTTCCCTGAAGATGACATGATTACATTCTTTCTAATCCCTGTGTAATATTCCATATTGTACGTATGATCATGTATGTATATGTATATAACACATATCACTTCATCTGTTCATCTGTTGTTGGGCACCTGGGATGATTCCATCATTTGCCTATTATGAAGAGTACTGCAGTAAATAAAGATATGCAGGTGTCTTTCTGGTATCTTGATTTACTCTCCTTGGATATAGGCCCTATAATGAGAACAGGTCATCAGGAAGACCTGTTTTTAGTCTTTGAGGTGCCTCCATACTGACTTCCATAGTGGTTACATTAGTTTACAATCCTGTCAACTGGGTGAGGATCCTGTTTTCTGCATCCTTACCAGCATGTGTTGTTTGTTTTCTTGATGACTGTCATTCTGACTGGGGTGAGTTGAATTTTAATGTAGTTTTGATTTGTATTTCCTTTATGGTGAGGATGATGGAATATTTCCTCATGTATCTTCTAGCCATTTGTATTTCTTCTTGTGAGAACTATTTATTCACTTAATACAGCTTGCCCATGTTTTGGATTATTTGTACTCTGGTTTTTTTTTCTTCTCTCAATTCTGGATATAAATCTGTTATTTGCAAAGATTCACTCCCTCCCCATTCAAAATATGTTTCAGCTTCCTGTGATATTGGCTTCTGTTTTTTGGGAACAGTTGTCTTTCTGTGTTTTTTGTTTATTTTCTTTCAGTCATAGGTCCTGAACTCTGGGCCTGGGCGCTGTCTCCCAGCTCTTCAGCTCAAGACTAGCGCTCTAACACTTGAGCCACAGCGCCACTTCCAGCCTTTTCTGCTTATGTGGTGCTGAGGAGTCAAACCCAGGGCCTCATGCATGCAAGGCAAGCACTCTACAACTGAACTACCTTCCCAGCCTGAATATTTTTAATTAAACATAAATACTTGGCATTTCTTGTATTTCTTTTTGTAACTTTTCTCATGAGACATAAGTAAGCTCATCAAAAAAACCAAAAGCTTCAGGTTTGCCTTATACAAAAAATTTACTCCTGTTTTCAGATGTTTTCTTGTTTTGCATTTAACATATTGACTGTGATGTATTTGTGTATTTAGTTTTTAATTCTCTTTGGAAATCATTGTTCTTTTTACATAGATAACTGATTTTTTTCTAGCCATGTTTTCATAGGTTTTCTCCTAGTTCCCCTCTCTTTCCTTGTTTTTCCTCTTTTGTGTTTATGTTGGTTTGCTTAATGTGGTCACACATTATTCTATAGCTCCTATCAATTCTCCCCTTACCTCTCCCCCCATCCCCTGCCCTCTTCTTCTCTCCTCTCCTCTCTCTTCCCTCCATTTCTCTCTCTTTTTTCTCTCTCTCTGCCTGTCTCTCTCTCTTCTTTTATCTTTCATGTGTGTGTGTGTGTGTGTGTGTGTGTGTGTGTGTGTGTGTGTGTGTGTGTTGGTAGTAGGATTTAAGCTCAGTGCTTGAGTTTAATTCCTTAGCTTTTTTGCTCAAGGCCGTATTATTTGAGCTACAGCTTTACTTCCTGCTTTTTGGTAGTTAGTTTGGAGATAACTGTCTGCTCTGGCTTTGAACCATGATCTTCAGATCTCAGCTTCTTGAGTAGCCAGGATTACAGGAGTGAGTGACCAAGTCTCTATTCATTGTTTTTCCTCCATCTGTCCTTTAGAATGAGCAGCATTCATGAATATTTATTCACATTTACAGATTGTTTCTTCTCTTACTCAAACTTGGTGTTTAGAACCTCTGTTGAATTTATTACTTTTATTATATATTACTTTGGTCCAAAAGTTCTCTTTGGTTCATTTGTATAATTTGTGTCTTTATCAATACTGTGTTATTTTATGAGATGTTACATTTTTTTCTTTTAGTTAATTGGTTTCTTTTAGTTCATTAGTTCAAGCTTGGTTTTCTTAAATTCCTAGAATTTTTTTTATTTCTTTATTTTCTTAAATAAAACCAGAACTTTGACTGCTCTGTTTGCTAAGACAAACATGGAGATCTTTAAAAAGACTCTTTCCATGCCTCTTATTTGCCCTGGGCGTAGGACATACTTTTGTATTTCTTTCCTTTTCTCCTTATTTTCTTTCCATTTCTTTCACTTTTGTGTGGGAAGCTGAACATGGTTGGTTTTATACTGTTGATAGCAGGTGCTCATACCCATCAATCTTGGATTTGTTTTATTGTATTTTTATGCTTGATTAGTGATTGGACTGGGCTAATCTGGTGAGGTCAGTGTATCCATACCACACAGCCTCTCATTTTGCTCTAGTTGGTCAATCTTGGGTATGGACTTAAGCTTCTGGCTTTTCCATAGGTTTATACAGCTCTTACAACCTGGTGG